CTTAAGGCAGATAGGTTCAGTATCAAGTCATCCTTATTTCAGCAGTACCCATAGCATTTGAATTTCCCTCTATAAAGATTCAGACTACATAAAGTACTGTTGCCTGGCAACTCCATACTAATTGTTTAATATGTATATGGTAATGAGAGTTATTAAATGTTTTCAATACACCATATGTAGACCATCACTGAACACAAGATGCACAAAGGAACTACAGCATCTATATACAGTATGTAAAATTCAGTAAACAGGGGCTGGGGTTGTGGCTCAGCAGRCGAGTGCCCGCCTAGCTTGTGCGGGGCTCTGGGTTCGATCCTCAGTACCACATAAAAATAAAATAAAGGTACTGTATCCAACTACAACTAAAACAAAGTATTTTTTTWWAAAAATTAGTAAACATATTAATCATCATCACTATTTTAAATTTAAGAAAAATCCAAATGCCCTTTGAGTGGATTAGAATCATTTTTGTCACTCAAAAGTAATGTGTCTAGTATTGCCTGTTTTAAGAATGAAAAAATCAAAACGATTTTATCAAAGCTAAACCAGATTATTATTACTTTTCCCCTTTTGTTGGCAAATGTTAATAATAAATAAAACACTACCCTTATGGGGTAAGGATCCATAAAATACTACATTAGTTGCCACGGGCCACTATTGCCTCCACCAGCACTCCACACACGCTCCCCGGGAACTCTCCCAGCTCTCCACCAGCTCCGTGCCCTTGGAATATTCTTTATTTGGGGAGGGGGCTGGGATTGAACTCAGAGGCACTAGACCACTGAACCACATTTCCAGCCCTATTTTGTATGTTATTTAAAGACAGGGTCTCACTGATTTGCTTAGCACCTCCCTTTTGCTGAAGCTGGACTCTTAATCCTCCTGCCTCAGCCTCCCCAGGCAATGGATTATAGGCATGCATGCACCACTGTACTTAGCTAAGATATACTTGTAGTAAATTTCCAACTTATTTCATTTAAGGTCAAGAAAAACAAGTTATCTAAAGCACTAAATTATGTTTGAACAGATGCTAACTAAAAGGTGTATTTTTTGTTGCTGTTTTTCATGGAGCTACTACACTGTGCAATTAAAAGTTTCACATCAAATAATCACTTGAAAAAAAATCTCCACCCTGCACCTGTAAAGGGCTCTAAGTCTAGTATGAGCCATCTAGGGGTAACTACACTTAAAAATCTAAGTCACATATTAATTACTTAATTTTGAGATAAATTTTGAAGCAATAGCTCCTATTTTCAAAGAACCATATTTTGGCAAAATGTGTCAAAAATAATGGTTTATAATGATACTGAAAATCTCCAAAGCATCTCTAATGTGGACAGCATGTACTGGAAGTTATTCTGGATCCCAGGATAAAATAATATTCACAGTCTCCTGCTACTTATGGCTCTGTTGTTTTTTAATGGGTGGCAGGTCTGATAGACATATAAAGATGCTTTGTATATATGTATGTGCAGGTATAAATATACACATATGACACTCTAGATAAACTGTGCTTTCACTAAATTGAGAAGTAAAAGCCAGCATTTAACAAAAAAAAACTTAGCAAAGAATACTAAAGTGAGGCTCAGAAAGCCAAACATATATATAAAGCAAGTACACAAAACAAAAAACTAACACATTTTCACTGAGCATTTTTGCTTATCTATAAATGGTCACAACTTTTAAAAGTTGAATATTACACCGACTTTGAGAAAAATAAATTAGGATAAATTTGTAATTTCCAGGAGAAATGATATAAATTTTAAAAACTGCATTCAAAAATAAAAGAACTACAATTAAATGACTAGAAAAAGAAAACATGATTTTTACGGGAAACATGGTAGCTCTCTGAAACATATAAAACTGGGATGGAATGAATATAACATACAGGAGACTCAAAAAAGAACAAAGATGAGTATTACTAATGAATTCAACACATACTGAAAGAAGCAATGGTACTCCAACAGGCACTTGCCACAAAAACTGCCGGAATGAAACAATGCGAGATTTGTTGCGATATATCTTAAAACTTACCAATAATGAGCTATTAAGTTTCTATTTCTAATGTTTTAAATAAGGTTTTGGGCTAGAAGATTGAAATCTGCCCAGCAGCAAAAATGGATCCTCACTGAAGACATTGAACGTAAAACTAAAGTGTCCTTTCCTTGATGCATATTTGTGACCACAGACAGTGTTCACTTTATACAATACACAAAACTAACAACAGACTGGTCTTAAAGTTTGGATTTTCAACTTCCCATAATACAGGCAACATTTTTAGAAGTAATCACATTAAAATAAATGTGTCTTTACAGTTACAGGATGAAATTTTAAGCTGGACAGGCACCAATGCCCTGGTTTTCCACTTTTTTCATAAACCATATGATTTCCACATGCTGAGAATGTTTTATGCTTTAACCTGCAGTAAAGGCTTTCCATCATTTTAATGCCCCAGTGCGTAAGATGCAAGAGAATCAGCCCAATGAATACAAGGAATAGATCTGGTTTATGTGTAATGATTTTGATCTAACTATTAGAAAAAGTTTAATAATCTCTTTTCCCAGCAAATAACTGTATTTCTATAGATGAAAACAAACAAAATAATTTTTTTTTAGCAAAGGGTGGTGGAAAACACTCATTTTTCTAACTCTCAACATTTTATTTTTTTATTTCTAAAAATGCTTAGCATTCATTTTTAAATTCTATGACTATAATATATGTCTTTTTAAAAAGACTATTATGTAGTTACATACAWTTTTTCTCTAGTTTTTGCAAAGTAACATTTCAGGTAAAGATAAAAGCTTAAAATAAGTAATTATGGAAATCTTGGTGTCTAACAAACTAAGGATTCAGCTTTGGAACAACATTTTCTATAGTTTAAATTCAAGATTTAGAATACACATTCATGTTTTTTCTATTCAGGTCAATCTAAATATATATGCTACCTCATGCTTACAGTTCCCTTATCTGTATGAATGACCAACAGCACAAATTTCAAATCAGAGGTTATAAAACTTATCAAAAAATTACATAGTATATTTATATGTCTTTCAGTTTTTATGAAATCTAAAAGTCTCTTAGTGATAGGTGGCAGACCCAAGAACTGATAAGGTCTGGACTAAATATGTAATAACATTAATTTCTCAACAGTCTAACTAGAAATTATGTCAATTCCTTTAGTCATTTAAAACTCTATGACACTAAAAATGTGTCACAGAGGGTTACTGAAGAACTTATATTTCAGATTGAAGGAAGCACCAAGTATATGATCTTAAGTTCTCCTGGTGTAATGTTATTAAATATTAAAGACTGTGAGAAACAAGAGACGTTGCACTCCTCTTCCTTTTTTTAACTCTAATTGAAAATTCAAAAGTCAAATTCTCCAAACTTGATTTATAATCCAATTAGATGGAGCAACTTAGTTGTGTGATTTTAGTAAGTTCCATGCAAAGCACTGCAAACCCGATATGATAATTACCTGTAGCATAAATGCAAAATAAAAACATATACATGTCTTTTTCATTTATTGACGCATTTTATGGTAAAATGATAACAAGCACAACCATATTGGCACAAACTAAGTAAAAAAGCACAGAAGGCATTATGCTCATCAGGAAGAAAACTACACCATGTCAAGGAAGGCAGGAGGAAAGGGGGAAATAAAAAGGAAGAAGAAAGGATGGAAGGGAGGCAGAGAGGTAGAGAGAATGCAAAGGTTTCTGGACATGCAAGATTCCAGAGAAATGGACCTGTCATATCACTCTACCCTGTGTGATACATGAGGTTTTGCAAAGGCTTCAGACTACATAAAGAGAGAATCACTTTACACCATTCAACTTTACATAGTATGGTGTCTTTACTGCCAACTGCATTCCTCCCCGCACTCACCCAAAGCTTCCTCACTCTTCCACACCATCTTTCAGGCAGATGCAAGACAGAACAGGGCGGGGTGGAAGAGAAACACAAGCGGCGACTTTCAGCGCACCCCCTTTCCCCGCAAACAATTCCCAACAGTTTCTCTTACTACGAAATGAAGTCGTCCTATCTCAGGACACACAGCAGACATTCCGTCTCTTCARAAGACAGACGCGTACACAGCCCAACAGTCCTGACCCCCAGCCCACGCCCCCGAATTTTAGGTGACTATGAATTTTTTTGAACAGGAAGACAACAAGATACCTCTACCTACTGTTTCGGGGTGAAGGTGGGTGGAGGACTCCTTTCAAAGTAGCCCCAATAGTGTAACCCAAACACAGTTCCGGAATAAAATATTAAGAAACACTTTTCCTTTCCCACCTATCCACCGACTTCAGGATGCCGAGAGCCATCTCCGCGCCACGCCACCTCCACAGTCCTCCAGCCCGGAGTTTGGGGTGGAGATCTGTCCGGGAGGGGCGGGGCGGAGTGCGCGCCGGCCGGGGCACGGGACCCGCCGAGCCGCCGCGCCTGCCGGCCCGCACCGCGGCCGCCCGCCGTCCGGCACCGGGACGCGCGCACGCCGCTCAGCCCAGGCCCGCGGGAGCTCTGCCTCTGCCCCTCCAACTTCCCATCTCCAGACGTGCCTCACACCAGCACGGCGCCCGAGTGCGCGTCACGCGGCTGCCACCACAGCTCCACAGCTCCACGGCCCGCACCGCCCGGCACACCTCGAAACCACCTCGCAGTTCCCGAACTCCGGGCAGGAGACCCAACCTCCGGAATTCAAACCTTCCGCCCCTCGTGGAGGAAGCCCGGAGCCCAGAGTTGCAGAGCCGTCGACGCCTCTCAATTCCGCCCCTCACGAACTGCCCCACCCCACGCCCCGCGCCCGGGTCGCCCCCTCCGCAGCCCCCAGCTTCCTGAACCCTCCTCTCCAACCGGCCGCTGAGGAGACCCATCCCCGGCGCCCACTCACTTTCTCCCCCTAGCTCCTCAATTTTCTTTTTTTTTCTCTTAAAGTGAAGAGAAACAAGTGAGAAAAGAGACTTGAGGCAGTCCGGCTTCAAAACCGCTCGACTCACCTCCGAATCCTCGCCGAGTTCCCTTGCCCGGCACAGCCCCCTCCCCAACGTCCCGGTGCGAAGGGCTGGGGTAGGGAGGAGGGAGGCGGGAGGGGGTGGGGTGTCTTCTGCGTGGGGCGCCCGTCGGGAGGGGCTGGGAGGGCTGAGGCCGCGCAGGAAGAGCACAAGGGGGAGGGGAGGCCCCTGTCTCCCAGTTTCCCCCTGAAAACCTCCCTTGTCTCAATCACATCAGACTGACTGTCTTTGTCTGGTTGACAACCGCCATATTGATATCAACAGCCCCGCTCCCACCTGCTGCCGCCGGGCGTCCCTGGGAGTTGTAGTTTCTGCCTCCCTTGAGTATAAATGCAGGGCTGGGCATCTGGAGGCCCCAGGGAACTACAGCTCCCGGCAAGGCCCGCGCCCATCCGCCTTCCCACAGGGAGGCGGGGTAAGGGGAAACGGAGCTGCGGGGACTACACGTCCCAGAACACCATGGGTGCCGGGGCCTTCTCGGGGACATGATATCATGCTGGGGCGGAGAGGGAGGATGGATTGGCGGCGGAGATAAATTTGAGTTAAGTTCGGAGAGGAGAGGAAGGAAAGGGAGAGGTGACCACAGTTCCCGTCATGCTTTGGGAGGACTACACTTCCCAGGATGCCCCGGGCAGGGGCGCGAGGAGGAAAGACTGCAAGTCCCGCGATGCTCTCGGCGGCCGGCGGCGAGGTTGAACCGGAAGGCGCTTGCTAGGCTTGAGGAGTGCGGAGACTGGTGTAGAACCACCAAAAGTCTGAAATGAAACTGGTGAGTCTCGACTCCTAGGTCGGACGGCAGAGGTGGTGCGGGATGCTTTTGGACTTCGTCGTTTCCACCTTGGGCAGGGAACCGTCGCGAGAAGGGTGGCAGATAGGGAGCTGGTGGAAATTGAGGGGGCCCGAGGAAGACTGTGGCTGCTTTTTGTGGTGGAGGTTTGAATTCGCTCCCTTGCCTGTCCTCCCCATACACTCACSCACGCAACTGCGCAGAGGTCTCAGTCACTCTCTGGCGGGTCCCTTTGGACAAACATGAGGCCAACTGTCACCTTCCTTCCCCTTCGAGTTAAGGCTAGGCTTCGTCCGCTGGGTTCCGTCTTCTTAGCTTGCACCTGCGGCTCTTAACCTATTTCCAACTCGAGTCTCCTCTTTCCCTACCTTTGTTGAGAAGCCCGATTGGATTTGAACAGAAGTCGAAAATATCTGACTGAACCTGCTTGCTTCTTAAATTTCCTATTACAGACACCTAACTGTCCTTGAAATTCAGAGAAAGCAGTGGCCAGAGCGCGAAYTTGAAGGATTTGAGTCTCAAACTCTGCCTCGGATTGGGATGCACAGAAAGGAAGTGTTAGGAATTCCAGGTTAGGGCTGGGGTAGACTGCATGATTCAAGGCAAGTTGGAGCATGCCTGCCTTCTTGGAGAAGTCTTGCATCCCAAAGCTCAAAAGCTTGGTTTCTAGGAAAGCTTCTCTGACCTTTGTTTTGAGCCATTTTAACTCTCATGGTGCACACAGTCCTGACAAGTTAGTTTATTCCAACTCTACTGGATTAGTGATAGCATAATTAAGAAAATAGAAAAGCAGGTGTGTAATGCTGTTTCTCAACCTTTTAAAGTTTATGTTCTTGCAGCCAGCTTATTATTTTCTGTGATGTCACCCAAAAAGAAATGTTTGTTTTTATTTTTTAAGATTTATTTATAGTTATTTTAATATGCTTTTCCAATGACTACAACCCACCTACTCTAATTTGATAATCACCAGCTGTTTTCTTAGTGAAAGTCAGAAAGTCTTAAGAGTAGATTCAGCTCCAAAACTGTCTCCCTTGAAGCCATTTAGGAAAGGGGAAGGATACAGGTTAGTAAGCCTTGAGAATATCTTTGCCTCTGTGTTAGTGTGCTACACATTTAACAGTTCAGATTGAAAGTTACAACTCTTGCCCTAAGGGAAGCCCTTGCTACCTAAGGAAGAAGATAGAAGAGCAATATAAAATTTCAATTCACTTGTGATCACAGTAAAATAAAGGCATATTCAGGGTTTGGTGAAATGAGAGAACAGATGATTGGGGAGGACAACTTTCTGGAAGGTGAGATTGAACTGATAAAAAGGTTAAGTAGGAGCCTGGGAATGTAGCTCAGTGGTAGAGTGATTGCTTAGCATGCATGACAACCTGAGTTCAATTTCCAACACCTAAAAAAAAAAAAAAAAAAATAGTGGGACAGGACCTTCCATGAAGATTTCAACCTATAGGATCAAAAGAGCTTGGCACCTTAATGGTTGAAACATGGAACATATATCCTAATAAAAACTAAATCAAGACAGGTGTGGCAGTGCACACCTGTATCACAGCTACCCTTGAGACTGAGGCAGGAGGATCCCAAGTTTGAGCGCAACCCGGGTATCTTACCAAGACCCTGTCTCAAAATAAGACTTTGAAAAAGTGATGGGGATGTAGCTCAGGTAGAATGCTCCTGAAATCAAATCACTGATACCACATACAAGAAAAAAAGAATCATATTTGATATGCTCAGTTTAGTTTCAGAAGGCAGGCAACTGTGAAAAAGATTTTGATTAACACATTCATGATGGTATCAGGCATTACTTTACATACACTTTGGTTTGCTCATGAAATCCTGTTTAATTTATTTAAAGATGTGAAAACATGAAAAGCAAAAAAGAAAATGACTTCTTCTCTGTAAGAATCAAAAGATGCCTCAGAGAAAAAGGAAGTGTTTCTATTGATATTCCCTCCCTCTTTGCTTTCAAACCATGGTTGCATACTAAAAACTTCTGAAGTTGAAAGATTGATGGCCTATAATGTGGAATCTTTATCAAACTACCAAAGTAGTTTCAAAAGCATTGTTCCTCRTTAAGTTAGACTTTTGTGTTGTGCCTCCCAAAGGGTTTGCATACATCTTCCTGTGTCCTGAAATTTTTAGCCCTGTGTACTGCTTCAGGAATATGAGGTAGGCTGCATTTACATCATAAGGGCTGGGGGTTTAGCTCAGTGGTAGATCACTTGCATAGCAGGTGCAAGGCCCTGGGTTCGATCCCCAGCAGCCCTTCCTCCAATAAAAATAAGATTAATAATCACAGTACACAGAAATACATTTTGTTCAGCACATTCTTGTTTTTGAGATTAAGACTTTCCAAAGTATCTTTGGAAAAAAGTATCTGTCTTTGTCTGGTTGGCAACCGCCATATTGATATCAACAGCCCCGCTCATATCTTGGTGATTCTGTTTCCTTTATAAAAGTTTCTTGAATAGGTCTATTTCTCTCCAGTTTCACTAATACTGCTCTTTTCACTTAACAATTAAAATGCAGTAAGACTAACTGGTCTCTGCATTCATTCTCTCAAATCCATTCTGTACTCTGCATCCCAGCAGTTGTTTTAAATGTGTTCCATAAAGCTTCCTTTGCCCTTAGGATCAAGTCTTATAATTCTTAACTTGGTTGATTTGGCCCTGAAGAATATGATTCTGCTAACCTTTTCACGCCCATATCTAACTTTCTTCCTTGCTCTTTCCCCCCCCCCCCCAATCATTTAGGACAAGTTTAGTCTCTTGAACTCACCCTTTTCTCTTTCGCCTTTGGAACGTTGAGTATGTCACATTGCCTGCCATAATCATTTTTTGCCTGGCTAATGTCTTCATATTTCAAGTCTCTATCTAAATAGCACTTTTTCAAGTTCTTCTTGAATTAAGTACTCCTGTTAATTGCTTCCATGGCACCCTTCCTGCTAGTAGGACCTGTAATTATATGTTTAGTATCTGTCCTCCCTCATGTAAACTTTTATATTCCGAGAGCCTGACAAAGAGTGTGACCTCACTAAATAGTTGAATAAATAATTTCTGAAGGACTGTCAAAGTATATGAATAACATTGAGAAAAAAAATCACAGGCGAAGTTAACAAAATTACAGTAAGCCATAATCTTTGGAGTAAAAAGAATAATTGTTACCTTTTATAGAGCACAGTGCCAGGCCTTGTGCTAAGTACTTATACAGTGTCCCATTTAATCATTTCATCTGGGTGATAGCATTCCCATTTTACAGATTAAAAATTTGATATTTGAGGATGTGAAATAAGTGACTCAACAGTTACTCAAATTAAAAAAATTTAATAGAGCCAAGATCTGAACCCAAGTCTCCCTGACTGAATAATCTGTTGCTAATTGGGGACAGGGACTCCAGCACCCTATACAGGGGGATTGAATGTGGGCCCCCCATACACTAGGCAAATGCTCTACCACTGAGCAGCATCCCCAGCCCTAGAAAGGAGGATAAAGTGCCTACTGAGAAATTGTATGTAAGGCTGTTTTTTAAATTAGCTTTAAATATTATCTAAAATTTTTWAAAAATATTTATTTTTTAGTTTTAGCTGGACACAGTATCTTATTTTTATGTGGTGCTGAGGATCATACCCAGTGCTTCATGCATGCTAGGCAAGCACTCTATCACTGAGCCATGACCCCAGCCCTATATTATCTAAATTTAGCTTCCAAATACCATTTGGTAATTGTCTAACTTTGCATATCTCTTTCTTAGTGGCTTTTCACCCACCCACATGAAGACAGTGTCATTCTAATGTATTGTTTGGATAGTGATCAAAGGATCTTAATCACTGCCTATATATATAATATTATGTCATATTTGGGCAACTTTAAAAATATTCATTGGTCTTTTCAATTAATCCTTTTAGAAAGAACAAGAAAATTGGAAATGTTATCTTCTAATTAGCTCAGTTTAGGATATGTTTGCTTATTAGAATAGATTGAGCCTACCCTAATGGCCAGTCAGCTACAGATAGGAACTAGACTTCACCACAGTCCTTATTAACAAAAGACCATAGACCACAAAATTGTTTAGTACATTTACARTAAGTAAGTTGTAAACATCATGGCTAGAAATCTAATCATTCAAACAGATGAAGATTAAAGTGAACAAAATATTAAGAAGTTCAAGAATGTAGCACATGTACTTTCTAGATGGTTCAAGAGTTAGAATTTTATAGCTTATTCAGTCAACAGAGACTTACCATGCAACCACAGAATAACCTTGGCATTTAAAGTTTCAGCACTTTAAATTTTAAGCATTACATTTGACCCCAGAAATCTATGACATGGAATTATTTATATTCTTGCTGAGACTCAAATTTGAATATAACTTTAAGATTAATGATAATCCTTTGTGATTGAGCCGTCTGCCTCACTATCCATGGCTCTTCAGAATTATAGTTACTCTGTTGTGAAAGGTCTGAAAGAAAAGTCATTTGAATCTGTATTATACTATACTTATTGAATTTGATGAAGAAAATCTTATGCTATAGTTGTATTTACAATGTAAAAAGTTGAGAAGGCCATGAAATGTATTTTTCAATGGTGTTTGTGCCTTTGTGCAAAGTGTCGTTTCATTTCTACTGGCTCAAACTTTTAACTCACTGTTACTCTGGAGAAAACAGATGGAGCAAAGAAATGAATTCATGGACTACTCCCAGTAGAGGACAAGTGAACACCAAGTGGTGTTGTAGATTATATAGAAGATCTTTGCTTGAAAGGTGTGAATCCTACCCCAAGGTCAGTTTAAGAAATCATTAGAAAGGGATGTGGTTAATCCTCACCTTGAGTCTGAGCATGTTGGATTTTTTCTCTCCTGTTTATAGTCACAGAATTCTTTTAATTTCCTATAACTTGGATCCTGAACAGAAAATCTCTTGCTATACATAATAAGCATTCAAAAATTTATCAGTGCTTGATGCATCTATTGCAGTGTGGTTG